GTAAAACTGAAAAATACTCAGATTTTGGATTCATTTTTCGAATAGTTAACCCTCGTTAACCCTAAAATGACTTAGTTTATTATAATCCTTAATCATTTATTAATTAATATCTTTTAAAATTAGAATGGGCGAATTTAGGCCAATTTATGAAAATTGAAGTTGAAATATACTATACTTTTATAGGTCATGTAAATGTTCCATTAAATTCGAAACTTTTCTTGGTGGAAAATATTAATATGTTTGATATTTTATGAGAGATGAACGTATCAGCTTCAAAATAAAAAAGATTGCGCAGCCATAGTGATTGACAGTATGTAGTGCGCATTGAGAAAAGAAGGTGCTCTCCATTTCGTCATGTTCAATTTTTTGGTCAACTATGCCTGTTGAAAATTTTGATGGCGGGGGACTTCAAAGGCATCGCGCAAACGTTCTTTACGCGCTGCGGCAACTTTGATCTTGGTTCATTTGCATAGCGCTGCGTGCGCGTAGCTTTGCCGAGTGATCTCCTTCTCAATAATACCTCCATGGTGTCAGCAAACGCTGTCGGTTACACTGATTGAGGGCGCTTTACGGTAAAGTTATACAGTACATTATCAATGTGTTGTAAATTATGCTAATTTGGATACCAACGTGTATTTATACTACCCTGTGATAATATGGATGGATAGTTTAATTGCTCCATCATAACACATTAAACTATATTTTATATTTAACCTTTGGTGGATTCTGAACAGCGATTCTCAAGATTGTTAACATGGTTGGATAGAATGAAAAGAGCATGCTTAAACCATGGAGGAATAATTTAGACATTGCGGTTATACCACGTTGTGCTAAACATTTACGAATATCATAGGATAAGATAGGTACCTGAAATAAAAAAAGTCGGATGATAAAAAATGGCGACCACCTTGAATCTTCCTATAATAAACCTTTCCGCAACGCCACGCCCCTTGAATATTGCCCACAGTGTAAACGTACGTAAAAACGTACGCACGTGTTCCTGATTGGTCAGTTGAAAGCAAGTTCATTAAGAACATCAACACAGGCTAAACAATTTATAAATTCTGAACAATTTCCAAGTGTTGAATGATCGTTTTTGTGACCCGACTTTCAAACACAAGCAATAGGCTGAAGTTGAAACTTCATAATCTCAGATAAGTGAGGAAGTAATAACGATTAATAATGGGGCGTGACCCGAACCAAAGCAATGACATCCTACCATTAAGCTGGAGAGCATTTAACTTTTCTATTGAATGCCCTAAATTGTTTCTCCTAAAACATCTCAAAATTTGAAATATAATAGGAGCCTAATAAAGATATTCATTTGTATACTCGACACTTCCGTCCAGAAGTTGTTGAGCTAAAAAGGAAAATATTAATTTAAATTGCTTAAGTTGTATAATTAGCTTTTATTTAAACGCGAGAAAATATTTTTCGCGTCAGTTGATGGACTTATAATGGGACCGTTTCTATATTTCTACTAGTCCCACTAGACAGATTTACAATGCTAACAACATTAATAACAATAACAATTATAAAGATAACATTAATAGGTAAATAAATGTAAAACGGGAAAGTAACAGTATTATTAACTGACATTCTCACTAAAGCCGTTGTATGCCCATACGTGCCTATACCAGTAGGCATATATGGTCATGATGTGACGTCATCATGACCAAATTAGGCATGTCACGCGCTTTTGTAAAACAATATTTGATAGTCTGGACAGAGCTTTAAACAATTCAAATTCAAAAATAAAATTTATTTCCTTCAAAACGTGAATTACAATCTTCTTTGAAATGTAACAAATGAATAAGATGTAGGCCTATAAACAACGATTTATAAACGTTTAAATGTTGGATTACAGTATAACAAAAGAATCTGTTTCAGGATGGAAGTGAGGGTTTGTGGGACTTACCTACAACAGATGGTTCGGAAGGAGCCATCCGCAAAAGTCATTTTGGCACTTTGCCAAGTTAAAAAGCCCAATTTGATTGTTATTCATACACATGCCTATTACTACAAGTACAACTACTTCCATAATTATGTTCATAAATATCAGAATTAAGGCTGTCCAAATCCTTATCGTGATTTCGTTTCACTTTTGAACTGTAATCAAGTCAACCTAACTGTAATGTAGGCCTATATGTGCTTATTAGAAGGTGGGATGCAAGAAACAAGGGAGGGGAACCGACTAACTTTACCCCAGAAAATAAAAAAATTATAAAATGAACAATATATTAAAATAAAAGTTTGAATTACCTACTTGGTTTGAGTGTGCCATTTTCACTAGCTACTAAAGGGACCATATCGGTATACAGTTTAGCCATAAACGTTTGTACCTCAGCCATAACATGATGACATGATACCACCCCCACCCCCCATGTAAAAGTTCTCCTTGAGGTCTCTTTATTTGAAGGCCAAGAATCGCCAATGATCAGGGCTACATTACAAAAGCAATCAAAACAGGAATAAACGTGTCACGAGAAGACAAACCTGATAGTTCCGATTTCTGTATAAAATGCGACTGACAAAAACTGACAATTAAATATCCGCAAACGAGCGAAGTAGGATGATGCTAATCTACATATCCTTCTTAAATAAAAGTTCA